CCTACTTCCGTAGTGATACTGCCTCGGAAACCCAAGGAGGGGTCGCTATGAGTCGGGGCCGACTCGACGGCAAATAACAACAACAACAACATAGGGTAGCTATAGGTCAGAATCAAGTTAATGGCAATGGATATTGTATTGGGTAATACCTTAGGCACATTGTAATTCAACTCTTCTTTTCCTAGCAAAATGTCTTTGGCTATATTGAACTAGAAAAGTTTCCCTATAATTTAAGTCCATTAAACTTTAGCAATATCTACATTCAAACCTGCAAAAGCTGGAACCTATGCAAGTCAGAAACCTGTCAGAGAAGGAAAACTCAAATATTTTCCACTAAACCAAATGGTAGAAAAGTAATAAGACTGCACTCTGTGGAAAACTTGCAAGACTTGGAAAAACAAGGCAGTCCTGTCAAGTGCTAGCTCTCAGAGGTTTCACCATATTTGTTTCAGATTTCTCTGTACTTCCTTCAGCAAACTCATGTGTCAATAAGAACACAGCTCTCTCAGGAGTTATTAGAACTTAAATCCCACATAACAAATTTGTCTTTCTAGAATAATCAGAATGATAAACTACCCATTAAAAAGTGAAGTGAAAATATTCATTATCTGGAAACATTTGTAAACTTTAAACAATGATTATATTTTTATATCAACTGAGATTCCATAAAGATCTAGCTCATGGTGAGAGGTCCATAATCACTGGCTGAGTGAAAGCTTAATGTAATCAAAATGAATCACTAAATGGGAAATTTAGAAAAATAAATAAATAAAAATAACTTTCTCTGAATATCATCAGAGAGCTGAGTTTCTTCTACAATCTCTTTAAATCTTCCTTTACTGACTTATATAGTAATAGCCTTAGCTTAACTCATATCAAGGCTATAAAGTACCAAGCAAAATGGCAATATTAATACCTACTGACTCTGGTGGTGTAGCAGTTAAGGCATTTCACTGCTAACTGAAAGTTTGGTGGTTTGAATTCACCAGCTACTCCATAGGAGAAAGATGAGTCAGTCTGCTTCTGTTAAGATTTACAGCCTTGGAAACCCAGTGGGGGTTGCTATGATTCAGAATCTACTCAATGGCAGTGAGTTTGGCTTTTCTGGAGTTTGACATAATTAAAAGTTGCTGCTAGTTCTTTCAGGAGTTCTAGTGGTATACTGGTTAAAAGCATTGGGCTGCTAACCAAAAGGTTGTGGTTTGAACCCACCAGCCATTCCATGGGAGAAAGATAAGGCAGTCTGCTTCCGTAAAGATTTATAACCTTGGAAACCCTATGGGGCAGTTCTACTCTGTACTAAAGTGTCACTATGAGTCAGAATCAATTCGATGGTGGTAGGTTTGTTTGTTAATTCTCTACAATCATTTCCTTCTAGGTTCCATAGACTGTACTTTAACATTCTCTCATCCAACCTGGTACTGGGAAAACCTGCTGAAAATCTGTGTCTTCATCTTTGCCTTCATTATGCCTGTCCTCATCATCACCGTGTGTTATGGACTGATGATCTTACGCCTCAAGAGTGTCCGCATGCTATCTGGCTCCAAAGAGAAAGACAGGAACCTGCGCCGCATCACCAGGATGGTGCTGGTGGTTGTGGCCGTGTTCATTGTCTGCTGGACTCCCATTCACATTTACGTCATCATTAAAGCCTTGATTACCATCCCAGAAACTACCTTCCAGACAGTTTCCTGGCACTTCTGCATTGCTCTAGGTTACACAAACAGCTGCCTGAACCCAGTCCTTTATGCATTTCTGGATGAAAACTTCAAACGATGCTTCAGAGAGTTCTGTATCCCAACGTCCTCCACCATAGAGCAGCAAAACTCCACTCGAATTCGTCAAAACACAAGAGACCACCCCTCTACTGCCAATACCGTGGATAGGACCAACCATCAGGTAAGTGTTTTATAGACTGAGGTGGACTACTGGGGATGACACAAAAACCATTCCAATCTAAGATATCAGTTAAGTTTTTAGAAGGGGATCCAGTAACTCAGGGATTGAGAGGGAGACAATGGTGATCGCAGCACCAGAGAGGAATTTTGTTATGCAAATTGAATTTATACAGTTCATTCTGTGCCTTCGTTTGGGCATACAGATATACCAACTAGAAATCTATAAAGCTGGTAAAAATTACTATCTTCATGGTCTTTTCTTCCAGGCAAAATAATGATTTTAGTACATTGTTGAAGTGATCCTAGTTTTAAATGCTTCTCATTTTCCTGAGGGATTTATGTATTGTGTGCATGTTGTTGTTGTGTTGTTGTTACTCCAAAATCCCTGTCACATCTCTCCAAAACCAATTCTCCTTTAGTTCTATGGTGAAAGAAAAGGGCCAGCACCGTCACTGAGGTAATGAGTATAAGTTGTTCACAGCAAATCAGTTCCATAGCAAAGGAAAAAAAACAAAAAAGCCATTCCTAACTTTGTTAAAGCCATTGGTTTATAGATTTTGATATCTGAACTCTAGAGCAAACTTCAAACATATTACTTAATTATTAGAATTAAGTTTATAAGGGTTATCATCATACTCAAAAAAAAAAACAAGCCAAACTCACTGCTGTCAAGTTGATTCTCACTCATAGCAACCCCCATTAGGTTCCTTCCAAGGAGTGGCTGGTGGGTTTGAACCACCAACCTTCTGGTTAGCAGTCAAATGCCTTAGGCACTAAGCCAATAGAACTTCTGAAAGCTTCAGAGGCTGTAAATCTTTATGGAAGTAGATTGCCCCATCTTCCTTCAGCAGAGTGCCTGGTGGGTTTGATCTACTGACCCAAATGCCTTATCCAGTATGCCACCAGAGCTCCTTAGTCAGGCATAATGTCTTAAAGAGTGACCATGTATTAGAAGATGCATTCCGATACACAGAAGAGAGTGACCCGCACAGGAAATTCAGGATTTACCCACAATGTTATAATCTCATGTGAAATACAAGAGGCAAGAAATGTAATACACTGCCATCGAGTGGGATCCAACTCATAGCACCCCCTCCTTGGGTTTCCCAGGCAGTATTGCTACGGAAGTAGATTGCCCAACTTTCCTTCCGAGGAGTGGCTGGTGGGTTTGAACCGCTTGCTAAATCATCGATTTTCAAAATTTGGATTCTGACTTACAAAGTAAGTCAGGAACATTACTTAATAATTAGTATTAATTAAAGTGAATTTTCAAAGGAAGGGTCAACATCCAAAAGTCATCCTTGGATAAAGATTCCAGGACTCTGTGGTGAGAATGCCTCCACCGTTAAGACAACTGAGAAGTTGGTGAGGGGCCCGGGGAGGGCTTGGGGACTACTCGGTACAGTTGCTTCCTCTCTGCTTTCTCTTCACCACTTGTCATTCACTGTCCCCACCTGTCTCCCTACTATTGCCACTTAGCCCTGCGCAGACTCCCTTTTCTGATTTACCACAGGACTAATGCAATATGACCCAGATGGATGTCCAGTGGGGGCATTAATTCCCATAGCCCTGCTATTCAATCATATGCTACAATGAACGCAGGAACTTGTACCCCCTGGAGAGGATGAGATAATGATGGTAGACCCACTTACAACTAAAAGGGAAGTTATTAACTTATTATGTCTTGCTTCTAATTCCATTTGAGAAACAGAAGCCAAAAAAAATGTTTCCTACTCTGTCCTCTTCCCTCTAATTTTTTTCCACATCAAGGCCTCTACTGATCCTTTTAGTAAGCTCTCCTCCTGGTCAGCAGCTACCAAAAGCTTCTGAGTAAGTTAAAAGAGGGAAGGGATTTCAGTAGTTTTTCTCAAACCTAAGGATAACATACTAAAGGATGCAATTTAAAACTCTCAGTCCTACATTAAGTTTAAAGTATTTTAATCACTGGAATAGAGTGATGGCCATTTTGAAACACTGGCTCTTTCTTCTTACCTGCCTGTCCACACCTTCCTTCTCTTCCCAGAGAGTAACTGTTGGCAGTTCCCCATGGGCCACTACTGGGGCCTGTGCTCACGGCCGGCCCTCTCAGCCACCCGTCCCTCTCCTTCCTTCATGGAGATATGGCTCGTGGTCTGCCCAGTGCATGCACCATTTCTCCTGAGCCAAGCATGATTGTCCTTCAGTTGCCCCAATATTGCCTTTCAATCCCTTCTGTATCCAGCATTTTCACACTAGTGTGGTTCTTGCACAGCCAGATAACAGAGAAAAGAAACTGATTGGAGCAGTTCCATTCTAAGTAACTGAAAGGTTTCCTTTAAAAATATATCCAATTAGGCCTTATCTTCATTGTTGCCTCTGTGAAGTAGTGTTCAGTGTCAGATAACAGCAGAAACAAATTAGCCCCGGAGTTGGCTGCTTTCCCAAAATGCCCGCTGGGAGCACCGAACGGAGCAAGGAGGGTGCCAGGAAAAGACGCTGGGACATTTTGAAAATTAATATAAATCAAAGCTCCCCATCACTAATCTCCACCGATGTGTCATTCCTAGAATTAAGGAACACAGACACTGGAACAATTACATAAGCCATTAGTGATAGTTTCAATAGTATATCAATACAGCAACATGATTTCAAGGAGAAAACGGAGACCTTACGGCATGTGTATGAGATACATAGTTGTACAAATGCAGAAATAGACAAACGAGTGTTATTTTGTTTTTGTTTATTTAATCTCATGGGCCATCGTGTTAGGAAACAGAGTGAAGTGGATTTGCATTAACTTTTCAACTACTTGTTTGAAGTTTTTTTTTCTTTTACTCATTGTAGATGTTTATGTTCGGCCTTTATATTTGTATATTCTCCAAAAACTACATTATACTATATAGGTTCCATTCCAAGCACATAAGTCCACTTCATATTCTGCAGATCAGAGGTCCAATGTCAAACCTTCCGAGCATGTCTGTATTCTGACAATGTGCACACAGCACAAAGTGGAGTGGTGATTTTGCAGTTATCAAGGTCCTTTGAGAAACCATCTGAGACAATTCCATGCCCAGAATAAACTGTGAGCCATACATCCATAGTTAAAGTCTGCCACTCAGCCTTTGCTGCATATCAAATCATTCCAAAATGAGGTGGCTGACAACAACAAACATTTATTTAGCTTACAAATCTGTAGACCAGTAATTTGGGCTGGGCTGGGCTGGGCTGGGCTGGATGGCTCTTTTGGTCTTGTCGGGGATCACTCTGTGGTCAACTGCCAGGTCAACTGTTGGCAAGCTGATCTGGGCTGGCTTCAGCAAGAATGGCTCCCTCCACATGGACTCTCATACTGCCACATGTTAGCCCAGGCTGTTCTCATAATAGTCACAAGGTCCTGAGAGAGACAGACACAAAGATTGAAGAGAGCAAAGATTCCTGAGGCCTGGGCTTGAAACTGGCACAAAAGTCATTTCTATGCTTTCTGTGAGTCAAATCAAGCCACCATATCACCCGAGAATGTGTGGAGGAATAGATGCCCCCTCTGTAGAAGGAATTGCAAAGTCATATTGCAAATGAGTTTAGCCATGGGGAGGGAAATAACCATAGCCACTTTTGCTAACCATCTACAACAGTCACCTACTACTTGGGAGAGCAGGACACAAGTTTCGAGAGTCAGCACATCCTTCTTTCTCCTCCAGGCCCCTCCAGTAACCACCTTACATGACTGGCATTTAAAACAAGTGTTCCAACAGTTATCTATCGAGTGAAAGAATGATCAGAGGGTTCATGGTGTTTTAGGAGATGTGGAGGGTGGTGGGAATGACTCCTTCTTGGGCATCTAACTAACCAGGATGACAACATAACCCTCTGATATTATCTCAGACTCTTTTGTCAGTAGCTGGAAAAAGATCCACAGCAGGATTTTGTCCTTTTGTCTCCTCCAATCTTAGATCTGATCAAAGCTTATAACTTTGGAAAAATCTGTGACATCTGTGTTTGTCTGCTAACTTGATTTTTAATAAGTGCTTTTGATGAGGAGGTTGAGAGCTGGACTCAAGGCCTTAAGAGATCCTGCCCTGGCTGAATGTGCAGGGGGAAAAAAAAATGACCTCTTGTTCTTATTTCATGCATTCGACGGCTCAGCCCACTGCTCCAGTGGTTGCTCTCTCTTTCTGATTTATGTTCAGCCTATTATCTCAATGGCTTCTACATCTTTATTAGGTAGACTCAGGCTGAGGCATGCATTTTTCATCTCCTCTAGATGCAGTTGAATTTCTCTGTAAACATTTCTACCTTACTGTTGTCCTTATTGAATGTCACATTGCTACAGAGCACTTCTCCATTTACTCAGATCAAATCAAGTCCAACTCAGGCCGAGATGATGGCCACTACTTATCCCCCTTCATTGCTTGGTTTCCACCCCAATTATATTCTGAAATGCATTTTCTGTCTTCCACCTCAGTGATATTTTAAAATACATAACATTGCATGGGAAAATGAATAACCCAAGAGGTTCAGTTGGATTTCTATTTAAAGATTTTGTATTAACTACAACAATAATAGTAACATATCTTATATCTGTATGACAGATTGAAATGTACTTTCATGTGCACAATCATGACAGCTTCCTATAACAGGCCTATTGGGTGAAATGAAGGAAATGAAGGCTCATGGAGGTTAAAAGACCCAACAGCCAGTCAGGGGCAGAACCCAGACTAGCACCTCTGTCTTCTACTTTTAATCCAAAGCTATTCATTGCTTTCCCACATAATGCTCCTTTGCATTAAAATATTATTGTGTTGTCTGAGCCAGAGGTTCTCAAACTTGAGAAAATACAAGTTCAGAGGAACCCCTCTAAGAAATCTTAGTTCACTGGGTTTGAGTGGGATCAATGGGTCTGCATTTTTAATAAAACACTAAACTGAAAACTAATATTTTAAATCAACTACATCACTCTCTAAAGCCAGATCTAGGGTTTTGGGGTTTCATTTTTTACAAGACCTCTGTGGAGAGCTAATTTCA